ATAATGTCAAAGTTCAATCTTGTCTAAAAATATTAACATGCTGAGCCCCATCCTGCATATTGTACATTTCAGTCTGCGTTACAAGGCATGGCAGGGTCTGTAGGAAGAATGTCATTGACTAAACAAGGAGGAATCAGACACAGGCGATTCTATCAGAGGACTGTCACGTCAGGGAACTGTTTTCGTTCAAGCGGGGCCTGAGGCCTACAAGTTGGGTTGTCGACTGACCAGGGGGAAAACCCAAGCCAGTCCAGTTTCTTGACCTCTGGAGCACTTGCCAGAATTGTGTGTGCGTGTGAGTGTGAGTGTGTGTAAAAGCAAGAGATTTGGCTTGGCTTCCAATCTCTTTTTTACCTTTTTTGTAAGTAAGCAAAGACATATCTGCTTTGTGTGCATGGTTAAACTCTTTACCAAATGCATGTGTATCAGGGCACCAGTGAGTTCATTCCCACTGTGTTATTTCACAAGCTCTTAACGTGTGAAACTGAAACCACATGTGTGGTTTCCCCATAGCCTCCCCTTAAAGTTTTGTTGTTTAGTAGTTTATTGAATAACCCCATCCTATTGATAAATAAATTGTTGTTTGAAATTATATATATTAGAACGTAAGAATATAAGAGAAGCCATGTTGGATCAGGCCAATGGCCCACCCACTCCAACACTCTGTGTCACACAGTGGCCAAAACCCAAGTATCATCAGGGGGTCCACTAGTGGGGCCAGAACTCCAAAAGCCCACTCACTGTGGCCCCCAAGCACAAAGAATACAGAGCATCACTGCCCCAGACAGAGTGTTCCATCTATACCTTCTGGCTAATAGCCACTAAGAACATAGGAGAAGCCAAGTTGGATCAGGCCAGTGGGCCATCCAGTCCCACATGCTGTTTCACACAGTGACCAAAAGCCTTCCCACCGTTGTCCCCCAAGCGCCAAGATCGACATGCTTCCAACTACCATCTTACATGCCTCAAACTACCATAGATTGCATAGATTCGACCTTCCAGGATATTCAATGGGTGACCTCAGAGTACCTGTTTTATTGTGAAGGAACTTCAGGAACAGACTAGAAAGGGCAATTGCTCAGTTGCAAGTTATTACAGTGCTCAGAACAATGGAATCCCTAGGACTTAGCAGGGATATCAGTTTCTTATCTCACTACATATGCTAACCTAATTCAGTCCTTTCGTCTGTATTCTCACCAATCCCCCAATCCACCAATCCTTTTTATTTTATTTCCTATTTGGAATAATAGATTAGAATAGTAGATTGTAATGTAATGAATAGTAGAATCTAATGTAATTTTGAATGGTGGATTGGAATGCATTTCTCTGTTCTTGGTACACAGGAGATAATTCTACACAGCCAATCACCCCACTTCAAAGAAGAACACGCTGTAAGGTGGATGGGGCATAACAGTAGGGTCTCAGTTAATTACTCTCAGCATTCCACAGTTAAGGATACATCTGCTCCTCAATCTCCAATTTTGACATATTTATTTCCTTCACTATGTTTCCCCCCAGATTTAAACCCAAACAAATGGTAACCTAAGCTTGTTATTCCTGTTTGGTCCTTGCATCTGTTAAATATCTACATTACGCTGTATGCTAAAGTATGGACTGATAACTTCCATTTCATTGTATCTGAAAAGGTGTGTGTGCATATGAAAGCTTATACCTCGAACAAAACTTTGTTGGTCTTAAAGGTGCCACTGGACTCCAACTTTGTTCCTATGAATTAATGTTCTCCAAATCATCCCATCATTAACAGCCTCGCTCAGGTCTTGCAAACTGAGGGTCATGGCTCTTTTGACTGAGTCAATCCATCTCCTACCGGGTCTTCCTCTTTTCTTTCCGCCTTCAACTTTCCCTAGCATTATTGTCTTTTCTAGTGATCCTTGTCTTCTCGTAATGTGACCAAAGTGTTATAGCCTTGATTTAGTCATTTTAGCTTGTAGGAAGACTTCAGGCTTAATTTTCGTTTAGACGAACCCACTTATCTGTCTCTTCAGCAGTCCACGGTAACCGTAAAACGCTTCCTCCAACACCACATTTCAAATGAATCAACTTTTCTTCCTGTAACCTTCCTCCATTGTTCAACTTTTGCTGGATGATAACAGCCTCAGATATATATATATATTTAAATCAGCCAGGAAGGGAGGTTGGTATTGGCACCGGTGCAAACAATATCCTCTTGTGCTTTTGAAAATGATGGGGATCGCATTGCCCTCTTGACGAGTTTCCTCCCCATCCCATCTGGTCACCTTGAAAAGCTGCTCCAGACTCATCTGCCGAAACTCACGTACTTTATTTAGCATTCCATCGTCTGGTGCCCTCCAACCTCGGTTGCACCGTTAATGTAAACAGTCAATGTTAAAAGAAGATCACCCAATAACAACAATGCCTGATTGTAGAGATGGCCACATTATTGTCGCGCGTTCGTCCTTGCTCTTATTTCCTAATCGCACCCGGACCTGGTTCAAATTACAATGGGAAGCGTCTTCCGAAGAGGTGTTTAATTTGGTTCACCTTGTTGTCCTTGAAATAGCAGACTAATGCAACTTGCCAATACATACCCTCCTTTCCCTTTGCATTCATTAGCCATTGTACTGCCTCCCCCGTTACCTTGGACTGTGCATGCTCCAGGAAGCACTGGCTTAGCTGTGTGCTGTGGCAATGCATCTCTCTTTGACACATGCTGTTGGAAACAGCTTTGTTTAGTGGAATTAACTTTCACCCAACTCTTTAGGTATTAGGTGGGCAGCTACCATTTTAAACAATGTTCGACCACCCTGACATTTGGGGCTCTTATTATCCATCCTACCATTTGTTTGTTAGTTTTCCTGAACATTTTTCATCAAAGGTTCACTTAATCTATTACAGTCATTAAAGTGCGCGCCTATGCTTTCGTAAACCTCTTTGAGCCTCCATGTACAAAGGGAAAGGTGGAATAAATAAATAAAAATGCATGTTTTTTTGTGTACTCCCTAAAATGAAAGTTGTGAACACGGGACATGAGACTCTGGAAATAGCTTTATCAATCAAGGAATGCCCCTCAGGGAACTGGAACTGTATATTCAGTAGCAGATTTGGGTTTATTCCTCTAAGGGTGCAGTCAGACGAGCTGTTTGATCTGTTGTCATTGTTTCTCCCCAATGGATTTAAATTGCTCCATCAGACAGCAACATCTGTATCTCATTCTGCAGTTGTCAGCCCCCCACCCATGCTCACCCCCAACTTTCCCAACACCAGAGAAAGTCCAGTATTCACTAAACCTACTGGGTTTACCACACATATCAAGATGCCTGATCACTCTCTTGTGCAGTCAAGCCATTTGGGAAATCGCAAACTTTCATTTTTGCCACCATTTGTTTTTACAAGTTAGTGATGTGTGCATAAGCAGTTACTTGCCCAAGGGTCGTTAATTACTGCTCGTACAGAATTTGCAAGAGGAGCAGCAACGGCAACAGCAGCAAACTAGGAAAGTTTGCTTGGTCTTTGACGGAGGTGAGGGTAGCAAGATGCTGTGAGACGCAGGCAAAGCGCGCCCCCTTGCTTTGCAATTTGCCGAAGCAGAGAAGAGCCCCCTTTCCACCGGGGGAAACGCCGCGACCGGCAAAAAATACCCGGGGGGGGGGGGGGCTTTAAGTATAGGCGAGATAGCTACCTAGTTGCAAATCTAGCACGGACAGCAGAGCTAGCCCCCCCCCCTCATCTCCAGCGCTTTGTGTCTCTCATCCCCTTCCTGGATGAGAATGAAAATGCTTTGCTGGAGGATGGCTGTGTGGCTGGCAGAGGTGACCCTCGGTGGCAAGGACAGGATGTCTGATCAAACCACCCCAGAACAAAAATCCTGATCATTTAGAAACGTGGCCACAAAATGATGAGTCTGACCACAGCCTAAGATATGTAAAACTAACCTTGAAGACTTATTTCACTGAGGATTTGTCAAGTGGGGTCCTAAGTTACAGCAGCCATTTGAATAGCTCGGGATAAATTAAGTAATTAATTATCGTATGGCATTGTTTGTAGGATAGCCAGGAGAATTTAAGATTGTTCGGCAGGCACAAGTTCTAGCTCTTACCATTATGCTAGTGGTGAGCTGGACTTGTTCTTGGGGGCTGAGAGAGCTCTGAAAGAACTGTGACTGTCTCACGGTCACCTACCGTGTTTCCCCGAAAATAAGACACTGTCTTATTTTTTTTCCCTCAAGAAGACACACTAGGGCTTATACCACAAATGCATAGAAATCCTGCTAGGGCTTATTTTTGAGGTAGGTCTTATTTTCGGGGAAACAGGGTAGCTGGCTCAATGTGGAGGAGTGGGGAATCGAACCTGGTTCTCCAGATTACCACTACACCAAACTGGCTCTCAGCTCAGAATAGCCTGATCTTGCTTGGAAGCTAAACAGGGCCGGGCATGGTTAGTGTGTGGATGGGAGACCTCCAAGGAAGTCCAAGATAGCTAAACAGAAAGGAGTGCCAAACCACCTCTTGCATTGAAAAATGCTTGTGTGGTCACCATCACTTTCAACTTGACATCACTCAATCACTATTATTATTCAATTATATCGGATATCCTTACAAAATTTCGGTTAAGACTTTCTAGAAGTTAACCCAAGTAAGGAGTGCTTTGGAAATGTCAGTGTCCTCAGAAGAAGAAAACAAAAGTTGGTATTTGAATGTGATTCCAAGGACGAGATGTCGTGAAATGAGTAGAAATGTATCTGTGAACAGATCTACTGCTATTTTCTGTCTTATCCATTTTTAATCATAAACAATCATGGGGGGGGGGATATTTGAGGGATCTGTATATAGTTTTTCCACAACCTGTAGGTATTCTCCCACATAGTCAACAATTGGCGGATTTGCCTCCGTAGCACAGATCCCTCTGGGATTGCATCCTGGGAGGAGCTAGCACTGGGGGAGGAGCTTCTTCCAACCAGCATTGGTTCTGTACACTGATGAACTTCTCCATCCTTCCCTTCCCCCTCTTGTGTTTTGTAGCAGTTGTATGCTGCCCAGCTCGCAGCGATGCAAGTATCCCCAGGAGGAAAAATGCCCGGCATCCCCCAAAGCAACATTGGTGCGGCAGTATCGCCAACCAGCATCCATACAGACAAGAGCACAACCAGCCCTCCGCCCAAAAGCAAGGTAATGTCAGATGTTACTCTTGGCCTTTCTTGATGTCAAAAGAGATACTTGCATGATATCTACATAACTTATAGCGGTTGTACCAAGTAGGCACTACAGTTGAGCCCCTTTTTGTCAGTTGTGTCTTATTCACCCGCCGTCTCTCCCCCTTTCTACAGTCAGCTGACCTGGCCGGGGCCCCATGCTTCTGTAATCTTGCGGCTGGGCTACTGTATCATGCTCCACATGAGGCCACCCAATGGTTTCTGGAGTTAGCTGGTGAGCACATATTACACCTGTATTGAAGATACTGGTTGTTCATTTCCATATTCAGTTCAAGGTGCCAGCTCTGAGGCCCTCCAAGAGCTGGAGCCCACATATCTGAAGGACCATCTCTCCCTATATGAACCAGTAGACCAGTTATACCATAGAATCATAGAGGGAAAGGGCCATACAGGCCATCTCGTCCAACCTCCTGCTCGATGCGGGATCAGCCCAGAGCATCCCTGACAAGTGTTTGTCCAGCTGCTGCTTGAAGACTGCCAGTGAGGGGGAACTCACCATCTCCCTCAGCTAGGCGATTCCACTGCTGGACTATTCTTGCTTCTAAAAAATTCCTAATATCTTTCTAGCCTGTTGTTATTTGCTGTGCCCTTCCCTCCAGGAGGGCGTGATACCCTTCTGCCTGAGACGGTGCCTTCCTGGTGGTAGCCCCACTGTTGTGGAAAGCCTTCCCCAAGGAAGAAACAGATTCAGCACTGGCTTTCTGAAAGAAGTGTAAAGCCATGCTGTTTTGCAAGAATTTCCCGCCAATGTTGGGTAGATTGCAGGAGAATTGTTTCAGTGTGTGTGGGGGGGTGTACAGTGGGGTTTGGATCTGGAGCATTTTATACAGGGGTTAACTGTCTTTCTGTTACACTGCATTCTGTTGTGAACTGCTGCAAGCCCTTAAGGGGGAAAGAAAAATACAAATATTTTAAATGAATGCATGTGGTTAAAACATTTATAATAAGGACCTGTAAGCATTCCTTGCTTGGAAGGTGTCACTTGGGTGTTTGATAATGGGAATGGCCATTTAATTATTGAGGCAACTGAGGCTGTACCTAGCAACCTAGCACTTGATGTATGTATCCAAAGGAACAGCAAAGCTCAACTTTGAATATTATCTTTTGAATTTTATTGGTGGTGATGATACTGTTGATAAATAGCTGTCATTGCCAAGCATAAATGGGTCTCCTATGCTGTCACAACAAATCACTCTGTAACCTATGGCACCTCTGCGGCTCTTTGATTCTCAACATGCCATCTGACCTATTGTTCTTTATATAAGTGATCATTCTGTATCCTCACAAACTCTTTACGCTTGTGATGTTTTAGCCTTTGATCCTTTTTTGTGCGGAACTTAAAAGTTTCAAATGGAATTTCGATGGAATTTCCCCCAAGCAGTTCTGCAAGAGAGAGTAGCTCGTTCCTCACATGAAAGTACTAAAGCATTATTGCAGTGTTAAGACTACAGTACCCATGATGCAGCATGACATTAAGGCCCAATCTGTATCTAGCATTTGCTCTGCTGTTATACCAAATCCACACTGGAACAGAAATTCCCGTCTACATTGCATGCCACTTTCACTTTGAACGAGTGTTGCATGTTATGTAGTGTTCAGATTGCATGCCGCTTTCACTTTGTTTGATCTCTGGTTTTATGGTGGCTGTCTGCATAGATTTATGGCCGTTTTATGGCCATGGGGGGGGGTGACTCTGCAGTCAGTATGGTGTTTGCCTGGGATAGCTGAATGTGGTTTTGAACCGCATCTTTTTCTGTTCCAGTGTGGGTTTGGTAAAACAACTGAGCAAATGCTAAATGCAAATTGGGCCTAAGTGTGACAGACACCCCAGAATTATAGGCCTATTCATTTACATATGTATTTCAGTTTTTTTGTAACTTGCCTTTCTCACTAAGTTTCAAGACTGCAAAACCCATAATGCAGTGTGGCACGTGTTTAAATATTCCGTGTCTGTAAATGAAGAAAGCAACTGGCAATATTAAAGTTACGGCGGGTGAAACAGAAGCAGCTGCAACTCAAAAAGGTTGAGGGATTTCTAATAGACATCCATTCCTTAGACTTGTGAAGGCGAATTCAAAATGTAATTTCCTCCATTGGCGTACATACTGATCACTTTCTGGTAGAATTTAACAGTGGAGATCTGCTAACTTCCTTTCCCCGTGGCCTTCAGAATTAAGTTAGAGATGTAGAATAGCAGAACCGGCCAATAAAGGCCACTCTCCTGACCTAACCTTTGTCTTAGCTCCAGCAGCTCACATAAAACTTATCTGTTAAAAGAAAAAGTTCAAAAGAAATTGTCTATTTCCCATTGGCACCCAGGCCCATGGATTCATATCAAGAATCTGTGTTCCCCCTTAAATCAATGCTCCCTCTAAGCTGTGGTGTCTTGTGAGCAAAAATTTTACTTTGTGACCTACTGGCATTAAAGTTGCGAGCGAATGATTTGGCTACTGCATAAATTAGCTTGCTCTGGATCCACCCTTCCTGAGCTAAAACAAAAATCTGTGAGCTGGAGGCTCACACTAACTCAGTTTAGAGGGAACACTGCCTTAAATCCAGAGCCAGCATTTCAAGGTGTATTATAACAATGTATGTAATCAAGGCAGATTCCCTATGGAGGCATATCTCTGTTTCAGTAACTCTCATCATGTAGAACAAATGTAGAGTCCAGTGGCCCCTTTAAGACCAAGAAAGTTTTATTCAAGGTATGAGCTTTCATGTGCACGCACACATCTTATTTATTTATTTTGCATTTTTTGCATTTATAACCCGCCCATCCCGTAAACGGACTCAGGGCGGGTTACAACATTTACGTAAATACAGTAAAAAAAAATGTAAAACGCATTATAAGCGCCTTGGTGTTTAGTCATGCCGGCCACATGACCACGGAAATGTCTTCAGACAGCGCTGGCTCTTCGGCTTTGAAACGGAGATGAGCACCGCAACCCTAGAGTCGGACTTGACTGGCTTTCGAACAAGGGAACCTTTACCTTTACTTTTTATAAGCATATAAAATTGATAATCATACATAGGAATGGTAGGTAAGGTTCAAATTTAGGGCTGGACTCAAATTAACATGTAACATGATGAAGGTGTGCAAAGACAAAACTAAATGGTCCACCGTTGTAAAGCAATAAATATGTTGAAATAGCAGATAAATGTGTAAAGGTATCTTTTCTAATTGCGGGAAGTAAACTGATGCTCTCCATTCTCTCCTCTCAGATGTGGAGGTCACTTAACAGCATTTTTTCCTCTTTTTTGAGGTAGATGCAGCAAAACATCCCAATATGCCGTGCATTATATTCAGTATTCTAATATACTATTCTGAAAATTAGGATGAATGTACCTTTGGACATGCTGACAATGGAGCACCGTAGCCCTCCTGCATATCTGAGGTTCGGGCAGTCATAACAGAGAGTATGATATCTAAGCCGGTTTGAACCCGCAGAGCCTCTCGCATTTTATATTAGTCAATATCCACCTGTCCTTTGCTCCATCTGTACCTGGGAAACCTGTTCTCACTCTAGTACCGAGACTCGCATCCAAACAACTTTGTTCAGTGCTATAGTCGGGATGCACTCTTGGTTCAGAAGTGACAGAAACCTTGATGGAAATAGTCGTCTCTCCTTCTCGCCACCCAGTGTCCTCTAGCGCGCCGTCTGTGTTCTTCCGTCGTGTCACAGCGGGTTCCTTGAAGTGACAGCGGCGCCTCGTATTTTTAGCCTAACAGCAGACGAGAGCCCCCGATTTAAAATAGACGACGCAAATAAATAATACTCACTGAATGTTCAATTACCTGTACGATCCTGGGAACAGAAGTGGTGGATATGAGGACAGATGCGAATGTGATAACAGCATCAGATTTAAGAACTGCAATCAAAGGCCTTCGTGGGGAATGGTCGCTTTCCCCGCCATGCTGGCCCGTAGCTAACATGGGGCCCATGGGGCCCGGCCCCCTAGTGTTTCTTCTGGGCCCCCTCCCTCCTGCGCTGCCCCAAAAGTGTTCCAACTTACCACCTGCACTGTACTTCCATTTAATTAGCTGGTGGGCCCCCTGTAACCCCCTCCCAAAGAATTCCCTAGCTACAGGGCTGCCGCCATGAGTGACCCTTTGTTGCGGGGGGCGGGGAATAATTAGGTTCACTGAGCTCAGTCTTAGCCTGGGATCAGAGTGCCTGCTTAGATAGCCATCTCCTTCAGCCAGGGAATGGACGGAACCTCCCCAGCTGAGTTGCAGGGAGCGTGTGTCCCACCCACCTCTGCGATACCCTTTCCATCTTGCCTATGGGGAGGGTAGAGCTTCCAGGATTAAGAGCCTGGAAGGCACCTTTCAAAAAAAAAAAAAGAGGCGGAGGAGGAGGAAGGGGGGCAGCAGGGCCGTAGCCAAGATTTTGTAATTCAGGAGGCCTCTAAATAAGTTGGGAGGGGCACTGACGTCACAAAATAAAATAAAAATAAAAATTTAAAAACGCACTTTTGCAGCGGTCGCAGTCTGCTTGCCTGCGCAGGGAAGCAAGCTGTGCTTGGGGAAGGGGCGGTGGTGGGGAGTCCTCCAAGTGGCCCAGAGAGTTGGGGGGCCTGGGGGCTGCATGGAAGTCAGGGGGCTTTGTCAGGAAGTCATGGGGCCAGGCCCCGAATTGCCCTACTGTAGCTAGGGGCCTGGGTGGGAGGGAGAGAGAGAGAAAGAAGGAGCCATCATGGAAGTTAGGAATGCCAGCTTGGGGGGGGGGGCTGGGGACCCTCTGGAATTACAGCGCAGCTCCAGACTCCAGAGATCAGTTGTCCTGGAGCAGATGGATGGTTTGGAGGGTGGACTCTGTGGCATTTATCTAAGGATAAATAAAATAAATTGCACCTCTCTGAGGTCCCTGTCCTCCCCAGACTCCATCCCCAAATCTCCAGGAGTTCCATAACCTGGATCTGCCAACCATGCCCCATCCATCCCCTACCTGAGGC